CCCCAAAACCCCAAAACCCCAAAACCCCAAAACCCCTAATACTTTTTACAATATTGAAACCGTATCTAACTTCTAATTCTCGATACCTCCAAATTCTAAAATAAGCAGTTTTTGGTAGGAAGTGAAATATGGTGGGGTAAACAAACTTCAGCACTTTAGGAGAAGTACGCCATTTCTGCATTAGAGAGTGGGAGGAAAAGCTATTATAGGAGTTTTTATAACAACAGAGTATTCTAAGGAGGTATAATAGTTATATAAAAGATTGGATACGATTGATTGGTAGGTTTGGAAAAATTAGGAAATATGCTGATTTATAGAAAATAGAGATGTAAAAACTACTTTGGAGGAGATAGATGATGTTTGGATTCGTTAAGAAAGAAAGTTACGCTTGTCTTTATATCGATCCTATTTTGCTGCCACAGTTTCCACAAAAGTGATTCCCTTGTCTCCATGAATTAACACAGAAAGGGACTAGGCAGCATACGTATAACTGCATTGAGCATAAAATAAGACAAAGGCACCACTGAGTTGAGCTGAAATCACTTTCCACTTTGGTATGGGTGTCAAGCCCGCAGCTGGGACATTCACAGTATACAGATCTGATATTTCCTTTAAACATTGACTTTCTAGCTCTTGGAGCTCTTCTTTCAATTGTTCTCTTAATTATTGGGGGAGTGCGATAAGAGCGAGGCAAATATCCACCTCTTCTTGGCTGCATCATATTTACAGGAGGAGCATTATACGCATAAACTGGAGGCTGCATAACTTGCTGATTAGTTGGAGGATGCTGATACATAATAGGTGAGCCTGCATATTGCGGAGTCGGTGATCCAGGATAAGATCTATCATAATTTGCCATTATAGGAGCCCCCACAAACACTCTATTCTCCTCATCTACCAACGGCTTATAATGTCAATTTTGATTAGTCTCCATTAATAACCCCTCTTAAAAATTCTATTTCCAAACTCCCATAAGGGGTTTTGGGGTTTTGGGGTTTTGGGGTTTTGGGG